TGAAACTGAACACCAGGACATGGGCCTTTAAACTGTGAATGAATGTTTAAATATTTTATGTAAATGTTGTTCTCCCCTCTTAATAAGTTGAACTTACATGAGGATTTGTTTATCTGCAGCTTTTATCTAACCACACTTGATTTTATTGAAGCAATGTTTTCAATAAACTTTAAACAATTAACAAGTTTAATGTTATAATTTTTTGTCAGTACACTGGACACATTTAAAAACTTAGATCCCTGATTTAAATAAGAAAAACATTGTTTTGGCTTTACCTTTAACTCTTTCTGTTTGTCTCAGCTGTTACCTCGCACGATGATTAAGAGTCTTGACAAGCCAGAAACACTGGAGCGTTTCACTTTGGGCCTCTGCACTTAAAGCGCATCTTTAAGACCCTCTTCGTAAGCCTTTAGGAGCATATGGCCAACAACCACAGAGTAAACAAGCCCTTCTCTCCCCCTCCCCAACTTCCGACACAACAACTCCTTTAAAGATGCAACAATTTGTGATGCACAACCAGAGTAACTCTGCTTTAATGGTCACACTATCACCCCACTGTGTAAGTCCTTAGTTATAAATTATCTACTTCCAATGTGATCATGTCAAGCTGCTGCTAAATTTGTCCGGCAAGCTACACTTTCACCAGCATGTTGTTGTTGAGTTTTTCTAAAAAACAAGCAGCTAAATCAAAAAGGATGAATCAGAGTGAAGTCACAAAGAGCATTGTCCATTCACCATTGATATCGAGTGTATAATCTATTCATTAGCCTTGATGTGAACCACCGCTGACTTCCACCCCCATCGAGCACCATAACAACCTTCTGAACAATACTACACAAACTCACCCACAGAGGCGAAGGCAGTGGAAGTTTCCGGTGGGTTTCTGAGGGAAACATGCAGGGAACCTGTCAGTGTTGTCACTGTTTGTGAAAGTAGGACATCAATCATAGAGCACAGTGAAGGCAAAAGCTCCACCTTGAAATGGTTTACTTTTGACCGGTTACACACAGCCACCATTTTCCTCTGATGTCACGCTGAGGGTAGGAAGCTTAAATCCCTGTGCGCAACACCTGCTGCTAACCAGCGTCATTTAACTAAAGTTTGGCTCCCTGGGTTCACAGTGCAACCCAGTGGTCAGCCCAACAAACAAAACACCAAAATGGCTCCAACACAATGAAATGACAATATCTCCAATGACATCAGGCAATTTTTATTTACTTTTTAAATATTTATTTTTGGGCTTTTTGTGCCTTTAATGGAGAGGCAGGACAGTGGATAGAGCTGGAAATCAGGGAGAGAGAGTGGGGAATGACATGTGGGAAAGGAGCCACAGGCTGGACTCGAACCTGCAGGGCCGCCCGCTTGGAGGACCATAGCCTCCATGAGGTGCGCGCAGTAACCACTACGCCACCAGCACCCTGACATCAGGCCATTTTGGATTGAAATAATGTACCAGGCAACCCACTATGATCTGACAACAGCTAACATATGCATTTGCGATACATTTGGAAATGTCCATCATGTTTTAACTCAGAGTTGAAATGTGTCATGATCTGTGTTGGTATTTCAGGTGTAATGCTCCAGCGGTAAATGAATGTGTTAAAGTGTTGATGGGGGTACCAATAGCATAGAGGTTAGTGCAGATGTCGATGTGCGGAGGCTGTCATCTTTCAAGCGGGCGGCCAGGGTTCGAATCCTTTTCCGCATGTCATTCCCCACTCTCTCTCTCTCTCTCTCTCTCTCATTTCAGACTCTATTCACTGTCCTTTTTCTACAGTATAAGGCACAGAAAGCCTAAAAATGAAAGCTCTAAGATATGGTTTGATAGTTTTGAATAATGCTGTCGTTGACTGATTCTAATAGTAGCTAATATGTTCCCTTCTAAGAGAGTATAAGAGTATAAGTAGGTCTCGTGCTTTGAGGTTTGGTTTAACTTGTGTCACAGACAAAACTGTATTTCTCCCAAGACATGGGCTGTTTTTGAAACCGCATACTATACTACTAGTACGTACTGATTTGGCCAAAATGCAGTATGCAGTATGCAGTATGTGAACAACTGCGAGATCTGCAGTTTGCCAAAAATAGCAGGATGTCATACTGATTCTGGAAAATTGTACAGTATGCATCGGACCAGTCTACCTCGCGTACTGTTTCCCACAATGCAAAGTGCCAGGTCAGAGATCAAAATGCCGGAGCGCAGCTGTTTGAACTCGTCTGTGGCGGTGACTGAATATCTTGCCACATTATGAACCAATAACAAATATGACATGTTCATATATTTATAAGTCTTAGCACCTTGGATTTTCCTGCTTTGTAGACTGTACAGTGCATGTGCCACAGCTGGACAAGCAGCTGCAATTACAGGGTCCTTGGCTTGCTCTATTACTACAAATTATTCACAGCTGAGTGAAACCAGTTTAACCGGGGCCAAGCATACTGCAAAATAACTGACGACTGGCAGTCATACTACATACTACTGTTGAACTCAGTATGCAGTATACAGAATATACTGCATACTGATTTAGATAGTAGTATGTAGTATGCGGTTTCGAAAACAGCCATGGTGTCTCTTAATTTGGCGAAAGGTTATGACTACCTTTAAAAATGATCGACACATTACAGATTGTCCTCTTCACTCCTTTTTACTGATTCTAAAAATGAGCAGGGAAATGTTACAGGAGAACCAGGCCATGCTTCAAGGAATGGGAAAAAAAATAGCTAACATTAGACAAAACCGTTGCTAACATTAAACAATTTAACCACTTCCTAGCTTACATGCCATTTTGATACTAATGCATTATACAATAGGATCAGTGCGTATCATCAACTGAAAGACATGGAGAACTTAAATAGTTACCAAATTAGCATTCAACCACTCAAGCTAACGATAGAGACCACTCTCTAACGATAGCAAAAGTGGTTGAATGTAAACATCTGTTGCTTCTTTCAGTCTCCATTTATTTCAGCTGATGATCAATCTGTAAGCTGTGAAAAGATAATTAACTTTTCATTAACTTACTTTTACATTATATTCATCCCATAACACCACAGAGAAACACTGACAGCAGCTTTTATCCTGAGTGTTATAGGAAAATGGATGCTATGGGAATATTGTTGTACTTTTTAAATAACTGGGTGTTTGGGAAATAGTGCATAGGGTATTGATCTGGGAGAGGGGCTATGAAACATTCAGACAAGAGGCAAAAGCAGGGAGGAAACACCCATAAGCATTGGGCTTTCCTGAAAATAGCAATGTGTTCCAGCTTCCCATCAAACCACTCTAGGTTCTCCAGCACATATAGGTACAAATAAATTCGACCTTTCAGCACTTATCTCAAGAGAGCAGCCTGGTTCTCAAAAAGCCTTTAAGAGCAGGACCTTTGCAAAGAAACAACAATAAGCCTTCTTCAGCACAGTGAAAGTGACAGCATGGTCCCCCCCTTCTCTCTCCCAGCCATTAAACCTCTTCCTGGATAAACAAGGGGAAGGCCCTTTATGAAGATGGAGAGGGTCACAAAGAGAGGAGCCATTGAGCCTTTGAGGGGCCCGTCTTTGTTTTTGTGTTTCGGAGGGTCTTCTCAAAGGATGCTCTGATTAAGGGGGGGAGGGGTGTGTGTGTATTTTGTCTTTAAGTCCTCCTTAACGCCAGTCTTCTTTCCGCTGTGCCAAAACAGAGATGTAAACCTAATTGACTGTATCATTTGCACAAAGTGATGAGTTGTAATATGTTTTAAAGTGACGAAGAGATGACTTGACTCAACTTCAACTCGATTTCTTGAATCGCAAAATTCAGGACTTGTGAGGTGTGATTAGATGAAAATGTATTTGATTTAATCCTGGTGACACAGTGTGATCTAATTAAAAACAACCTTACCATCTACAAGAACATTAACCTTTTTATAAAAGTTGATCAGTTTCAGATAAAGCCAGATACAGCTCAAGATTCAAAAGTGCCAATGTTCTCAATTTCTACAGAAATGTTCACATTGTGTGTTGTCCATTAAAAGGAAAGCAAGACATCCTTTGAGTGAGTGAGTGTGTGTGTGTGAAACGTGCATGTGTGTGTGTGTGTGTGTGTGTGTGTCTTTGCCTGTGGAGGTGCCACTGTGTGACGCTGTCAAAGGGAAGCCCTGTCTTCTGGTGATGAGCTGCCAGGTCCGTTGACGGGTTGCCAGCTTCAGGGCAACATGCTGCTGGAGCGTAGTTGTCTTTAAGGCATGAATGAGGGGCACCTGTGACCTCTGGTCACGCTCTGCTTGTGTCCTGCTGTGTAAGCACCACGCTCAGGACACACGCTGAGACCATCAGCGCTTCAACTGTCCGCTAAATGGACAAAGATTTGGACGACTCTGCAGAGCTGCTGCTAAGGAGCTATTGTGAAAACTCACACTTTAATCTTTAACTTTGGATAAAAGCGTCTGCTAAGTGAATTGTGGAATTGTAATCATCAGATATTTTTAAATCAATTTTACAGGCTCCTGTGTCAAAAGGTTGGTTCTTCATATGATTATCAATTAAATCTCTTACAAAGGTGGATAATGCAGGGAAGGCCATTTAAATAGCACCAAAAAACATTAGTTATTTAGTCCGGTATCATTTAGCCAAGCCCTGGTTCAGTATCATGTCATATCAATTTAATCTTAACTTCCTATCTGTCACACACCTGTGCGTCTTTCTGCCCTGACAGCCCACTTCTTTGGCTTAACATGTCCTACAGGTTCCTTATCATCAGACATATTGATCTCCAGACAGAAGGCAGTCAATTTAGCACTAGATTTCAGCAGCTTCAATGACAGGGATATTAATTGAACTGACTTTGCACAGGTCTGAGGAACTGCAGTGTTATAAAACTGCAACATTTGTTAATTAAGGATCAACTTGACAATCTTATGGGATTCTTCAGAAAAAATAAAGGATAGAGAAGCAATTGCAAGAAAAATATAGCACATTGTAAACCTTATAAAAACATTTTATTCATCTCCAAAAATTCAGTGCTTTTTAAAGACCTTTCAAGGACTTTCTAGACCTCCTGAGGCCTGTCACAGCTAGATAAGAGGCCTCAAATATACATGTACATACAAAAAAACAATGTGTGTAAACATCCCACTCAAGTAGGTTTTAAAAACATTTACAAAATGTACAAAAAAATTGTTTCATTATTGTCTGATAGTCCATTTCCAACAGATGAGTTACCACGGCCTCCACACAGAGTCTGAGGTGACTGCAGGTGCAACAGGCGACATGAGCTGGCTGTTCTGTGCACTCAGAGGCACAAGGGCTGTGCTGGGAACAAGAAACGCAAACTGTCCATCCGGCGTTGGCAACACCTGGAATCCTCTGTACATCTTCAGCGCTTCTGAAGAGACGTGCATTGCTGAGCTGCTTTTGCAGGGCACCTGAGGGACATTTGTCTGTCCGAGTCCCAGAGCACCTGGGTGAGGCGTGTAGAAGTTCACAGCGCTGATCTGGGTAACACAGGCTGCCAAGTGACTAAGGAGGCGTGTCCTCACCTCTGTGTTCACCCCTTCGCACGTTGACAGGAAATGGGTGACCTCACCCACACACTCACTGAAGCCAGCTCGGTATTTACCCAGGACTGACGGATCTGTGTTAACAGCAGCTGCAGAAGAAAATACAAATATACAAATAAATGTCAGTAGATATAGTGAATTGGCAAAACTACATGACAGAGAGAATTTTAAAAGTTTTAGAGATGACAAATATGAGGAACATTTTAAATTTATATATTTATATTTATTGACACATCTGATTTTTTTTCATGCAGGTCATGCATCGTGAAATCAGTTTTCAAAGTGAAGCACAATAGCTGTGAGTGTGTAATAATCTTGGAGACTGTGTGAACATGTTAACCGTCTAAAAATCTACATCCTATTATAATTGCACACACATGAGCATAGCTAACATACACACCGGTCATCTGAAGTCTCTGCAGGTTCCTCAGGTGCTTTACAGTCATTTCCAGGATGTCTGCTTTCTCCAGTTTTGAGTGTCTGGAGCTCTAAAGAAACAAAAAGTGGTGATTTAATAGTTTATTCGGTCCCTCAATGGTCACTAAATTCATTATATCTTTGAATAAAAATGTAGTGCTCATGTCCTTACATCTTTCTTAAGTGCGTCCATGATGAGAGTCTTCAGTTGGCCTAAGCTCTCATTGATGCGCGCACGTCTCCGCTTCTCCATGATGGGTTTAGAGGACTTCAAATAAGAACAAAGTTTAGATTAGGCTACTGTCTTCAAGAGCTGACAAACACATTTATATAGGCTAATAGAGAAAATCTAAAAGGTCACATATAGTCTACCTTTCTGCTCTCTGTTAGAGTGCGGGGTTTCTCAGGTGTGGCGTCTCCTCTCGCCTGTGGTGCAGCCACAGAAGATGGAGATGTTAAAGTCCCGGCAGGCATCTTCAGGTTTATCAAAAGTCTGAATAAAAAACTTGATCAAAAACAATAAGATGAACAACAATCAAAAGTCAGTCCAGCTCGGTAGGTCCCGCCTTCTCCTGGCAGACCACGGTGCAGTTCACTGAAAACAAATGTTTGCGGTGACTTCTGTCTCTCAAAACAAGCTGACATCAACTCGGCTCATGTTTCCAGCGCCCCACGTTTTATTTATAGAGCGCGAGACTGCACGCGAGTGGCTCGTGTGGTTCTCCTCTCTGTCCAATGAGCGCGCGGGACACGGTGCCGGGGAGGCGGCGGGCTCGTGCGACCAGGCGCTGCCATTGGCTACCTGTCATGATGCTGAGTGATTTTGACGCTAAAAAGTTAAGACATAGTTCAGGTTTAGAAGATAAGCGGACTTTCTTCAGCCCAACTGGTGTGTTTCCTTTCAAATAAAATAAAGATCTTCACGAGTGTTGAAATATTGTGTCGACACGTGGAGAAAAGTCCTGCAAAATGAAAGCGATATAAATAAATTATTATGACGTTTAATCCAAAACTAAAGTTTGGATAGATCGGTTATTATGCTATAATCCATTTGACATTTTATTCATTTTCCTGCATTTGAAAAATTAAAAAAAGCTTCGTTTCTGAAAAGTTTCTTGCGTCTTCTTTCTTACTGCAATATGTTCCATGTTTGGCCTTGATCAGACTTGGAAATCACTTTGGGCTGTTAACCTGTATTAAAGAATTGCCTTTATTAAATAATGATTTGTTTATTGCTCCACCATGTGGGAAAGCTTCTCTCAAAATTGTATCATGTAAACATATGATTGTTTTTAAATGAATGAATTTTATTTTTATTTTTTATTCACCTCCAATGCTAAATGGTTTCCCAATAGCATGATTAGGATTCTTTTTTTTACTTAAGACAAACAGGAATTTATGATTCTACTTATTATGTTGAATGGGAATTAATTTAAGGTGTTGAGATCAATTATTTTATTATTTTACTCACTGCAATGCATCCAATTACACGTGCACTTATAAAGAGTCCCTCCTTTCCACATGCACACAGCCAGTCTTTCTCAGGGCATTGAGTGCTTTAGCACCTCGTCCTCTGACACACTCCAGGCCTGATGTCCAGTGAAGAAGAAAATCTATGACACACTCAGCTGTCCACTTACTAACAAGAACTCTGACATCTTCTTCTCTTATCACAGAGGTGAAGTTAAAGAGTTGTTTAGCACCGTAAAAACTAATTAAAGACAGTGAAAGGCTTACATTAACTTAGGCTGTATCAGCAATTATTTCCCCAAAAAATCTTTGGTGTATCTATTTAGTAAAAATTAAGAAACTGAATTGCTTTTGAAGTACATTTTATTGTCAAAAGTGACTGAATTGTTTTATTGATTTTTACAAGAGGAAATGTCCGTTTCCTCTCTGTTTCTATCGTACCATATAAATGCCACTGCTTTGTTGAATGTATATATTAACAAGACAAAGCAATGCATATTCTCAGGGAAAGCTTTCAACATTATATGCTTGATTTTTAATGTAAGTGTATCACATATTTATATTTAAACTTTTTTTTGTCTACACCTGACCTTTTGTGATGTTTATTCTGAAATAATGCTTTTGGTCAGAAGTAACTGCATAAAAATAGCCTTAAGATTTAGCAAACAAACACTGATGAGTTTTTATTTTGAAAAATTTTGTAACAAAAAAGTATGATTCGTAAATATTGTTTTCTTGTTTTTTACTTTTTATCCTGATTTTTAAAGATTTGTTGCACAGTTTTAGCATTTCCTTTTTTAAAGCACACAATACATTTTTAAATTATTCTGATCAATATTGATTATTATTAACTTTGGCTGCAATGATAAGTAAAAACATCATCTGGTTGCATGGTTTCATTTCAACAAATGATCTGACAGACGTCTCTGTCTGGCACAGGTTTATATCTTTCCTGATAGACTTCAAACACTCTCCTTAAAGCTCCTAAACCCTCAGAGGTGAAATGACCCCAGAAGCAGGTCACTTTCTGCATCCTCTGCTTCTTCTCTCTGTGTGAGTGAGACGACTTCAGGCACCACTGGCTTTTTGACCTGAGTCTGTATTAGATTAAGCCAAAGTAAATCAAGTCAAACCTCTAGCCAAACTGGGTTTACTCATTATACGATTATTTAAAGTCCAAGGTAAGTGACAAACAGTGTTGATATTTCCTTGAATAAAAAGATGGGTATTTGTGAAGCGCTCCCCTGGGATCACACAAACTGCACAGTTAATCTTCTATCTGGATAGGTTAACAAGAACCTCCATTAATATAGACAGAATCTGCTCAGTGCAGATGAGAGCTGTGCAACAATAAATAACATCCCATCAGTTGTGTTTTCAGCGAGCCTGCCCCGACACAAACAGCCCTTTATTGTGCAGACGATGATGTAGGTTTATTGACGGCTCTGATCTGTATCAGTGTGGGAACCCAGAGATGGGAGGGTCGGGCTAGAAAACTATCAAGGTCTAACAAGAGTCTGATAACCGGGAGAGGGAACCAGGGGCGGAGGAGTTCTATTATTCCTCTTTGCTTTGGTTTATTGGAGAAAATTGAACAATTCAGTAGGAACTAGGCGAGGTAAGACTGATAAAAACCAGGACTTTGTTCTATATCTGTGCCTTGTGTTTAAACATATTTGACACAAAAGCATGTAAGTCATTAAAATCAACTGTCTGTGTAATCTTATTCGAAAGCAGACAACAAAGAAGACGTCATGTAAAAGAAAAGTGTTACGAAATAAGTTGAAGTAGAATTTAAAAAACAAACAGAAAAAACTACAACAAAATGTCCACATTATAAAGAGATGATGGCCGTTGTTAAGCATCGCCCTTGCAGGTGGAGGATTGCATTCAATATAATTCAAAAAGTTTTATTTTAACAATAAAACTGAAAGGAATCCTCACCTCAGACTCTGTGGTTAAATTACAAACCTCTTTTGAATATTAGTTAAATACTCTGTGATGTACAAACTCTTAAATATTTAGCCTTCAACAAGCCCACAGTAAGCTATTATAATTGATATCTGCAACAGGTTTTCTAAAAACCTGTGAGCCATGACCCAACAGATGATAAAATGACACTAACCAACACATTTCAGCCTGAGATCATCCAGGAGGTTACCTTCCACATTTCAGTCATGATCTTAATGTCTTAGTCAAGGTACTCTGAGGACAGACTCATCTTTACAAAGTGTAGAAGAAGGCATTTCTCAGAGGGCCAGCTCTGTAATCTCTATAATCTATCAAGTAATATAAATTATTGTATGTTTCTATAAGTAAAAGCTAGCAGGGTAGCTGAAATGAATCAATATTTTTTTTATTTAGCAGCAAATTACATCAAAAACTATCCTATGACTCTCATTATTTGCAGAGACCTCGTGCAGAAACCAGACACATTGGTGGACAGCTACCTGCTTTGACGTTTTACAGGTTTGGTTTTTGTCATCTGTGTAAAATTGGTTATTGCATGAGATAAGGCCTAACCTAGGATTATGCATTTCAATCTATGGTTTATGTTAGTTTATGTAGTCTTAGCGATCTGAAAGATGTCAAAACAAGAGTTGCTATAATTAGATGTGTATCACTGGTGCACTGATTGAATGGCCAGTTGTCAGTTTCCATTTTCCATCTTCACCTGGACTAAAAGCCCCCGCCCTTTTCTCCCTCCGGCCTTCGTGTGGGCAGAGAAATGACCATCCTCGCCATCCTCACCATCTAATACTGCAAAGGTTTCCTTTTAACTGCTTGTATGAAAACATCTCGGGCCAGGCAGACAGAGGGATCACTTAAACATCTCCTCCAGCGCTCTGCTCGCTCTCCGTCCCTCCTCTCTTTGAATCTCCCCTTAAAGAGGGAAGGGGGGCCCTCCCATAGCAACTCCCTCCAGCTCTGCCCGCCTTTTGTCCCCCTCCCCAACAGCAGTTTCTGCTCCAGAAGCCTTAGACAAGGCCTCCATTAATTGCGGGCCTGTGTGGAATACACACGGGACAATGGGCCCAACAGAGTGTCCGGCCCCCAGACAAGGCTGGAAACAAGTGGTACAGGAATCCAGCAGAATAGACTCGTCCTGGCTGATGTCACTGAATACATTTACCTACCTCAGTGCGCATTCACTCCCTGCTTTGTTTTATTTGGACAAAAAAAGAAGGGGTAGGGGGGAGGTAGAAGTATCAATGGAGAAGAGGAGCCGGACGGAGGGGAGGCTCAAGGATGGGAAATAACTGGTTGTCATGGTAATGTAGTGAATCAAAAATATGGTCGAATTTAGCGAAGGCAGAGATGTAAAAAGGGTAGAGGGCATTAGATTAAACCCCGCGTGAGATAAGAGAAGGCTGAAAACAGAGGTTTAGTTTTTTTAGCGCATTCAGGCCTGTTTATACGGCAATAAAGAGCGGATAAAGGAGCAGGAGATTAGCAGACTCATCTGGGCTCATGTTTGTCAACAACAACCTGTGGAGTTTCAAGCCCGCTTATTCCAAGTCAGTACCCCAGCAGCAAGGATGCTGAGCTGTGGCGAGTGAAGCTGGCACCATAGCAACTGGTATTCCTGCAAAACAACCTGCCATCTGTCACCTAACATTGTGGGTGCCTTCGTTAAAAAAAGAGAAACAGCATTTAGATCTTCATCTTTGAGGCAAAGGCAATGAGACTGAAGTCATATTGAACTCTGGGTCTCCTCCTTTGAAAAGCCAGAGCCCAGTCATCGCCTTATCCCTCATCAAATTGAAAAACGCTTTTGGAGATTCTGAGAGAGGCCTCATGTTTAATTTTTAAAACCCAGACATGAAAGTGTTTCCAAAGCACATTCAGCAGTGGAAACTCTTTAAAGGACTAGTTAGCATGTAGATTATATGCATTTCAGTGCATTGTCAAAGTATCTAAGTGTATTTACATGTTAATATGTTCAGGGATACTATCGCCTTGAAAAGGTGTTGGGGGGGAGGTTTGGTTAACTGCGTGTTTTCTTCCTGTGCACCATGGGAATGTGATTTCTTTGTGCAATCAAGGTTCAAACACATTCCTGTAAGGCCATGGATATTACGAGCATTGATTCCCTGCAGACAAACAACCTGTGAACCTGTTGATCCTGGCCTTAGAATGAGGCTCTGCTCCATAAATAAGCTGTTAAGTTAAGCTTGTGCGTATATTCTATATATTTCTCTTTTTAGTGGCTGATAGATCATAGAACTGGTTCTTTTAAGTCAGCACCAAGCCAAGAAGCTTCAACAAGTTCCCCACTGATGCCCCGCCATGTAGTGCTTATCCTCATCCATGCTTAGTCCATATCCATGAGTGTGTTTGCATTGGGATTTATGAAACTGAAGATGGCCTATTCTTGCCGCTCAAGATGACTCACAAGACCAGCGTTTTGGCCACTTACGCAGTGAAAGCAGCCCGGGGGATGCCCTTTCAGCACTCGAGGACCTCTGGCTGAGTCTCCTTCACACGCTGGAGATCAGCCTCACTTGGGAAAAAAAGTCCCCGCTTCTTACAGGGGGGAGCTGTCCAGAGGGATGGCTCAACTCCCTCCTTGTCCAAGGGCCTCCCTTCTTCACCTGCCGGCTTAGTGCTCATCTCTTATGCACATAATCCCTGGTTAGTGCATGTGATCCACTAGCCCGGGCCCAGGCCCCGGACCCCCCCTTTGGAGCCTCCCATCGCTTGCATGCTTGCTGGGTGGCTCCTGGGTGGCCATGGCAACTCTCATCTTCTCATGACAGTTAGGCTTCAGTCATAGCCCTAAGTCCCTCTTCAGTCTCTGTGCGTCTTTTTCTGTGCTTTCCTAAAGCCCTCCTCTGTTTGTGTGTTGTTCCATCTATGGTTCTCTGTTTCTCTTTTCTCCTGGTTTGCTTGTTCCCATACTTTTCCTCGGCTGAGGCCTAAACACCAACTATAACTCAGAAACAGTGTTATAGCATGAACCACATATCCTCTAAAGGGGGTTTCTAAAGTTTTCAACCTGGACCCTTTTTTTTTTTTAACATGTTTTATAACTTATCTGAATATGCAGCCGTGACCATTTTTT